CACCAGAAAGTGGTGGATAGCGGTCTAACAAATTGAGTTTAAAGATTGATAAGTTCTCGAGGAATCCCTCAAAACTTCCATCCATCCCCGTCCATCCCCGTCCATCCCCGTCCATCCCCGTCCACCATCGATAAAATATTAAAGCCCAACATTTACCGCTATTTCCTATTTACATCCCGTGTCAATCACTTCTTGGCAGATGCATTTTTCACTGCTGCGTAATTCGCCGTGAAAATCCAACGGCAAGAATAAAATTGATCCCCTCGGATACACCCTCCATTTTACATTACCTTTCACTTTATTTCCATCCCTTTTATTTTTACCCTTTTATATTTATTCTCGCCTCTCCACTTTCCCCGTTATTTCCGTTAATTTTAAACTCCGACGGTACAGAGAGCTCGGACAAAGCCCTGAAACATTTAATAACTCGACAAAAATTCTATTAAAGGGGCGCGAGAGTGTAATTACGTTACGTCGTCTGTTCTGGAAAAAAGTTCCTTCAAGTTTTTCCCCCCCTTTTTTTTTTTATTTTTATTTCGCCTCGGGTTCTTGTTAAATGGTTCATTGTGGCTAGAAGACGCTGAATGAACTCGGTCCACTGGGATTTTCAACTGAAGAGACTGCACTTGAAAAATCTCGCGAGTTAATCCGAGCAAGAGGTCTTCCCCTTTTCTCCCTTAAAATTTGTAATTGCATTTTCACGGATGTCGCACATTGCTCTGTAATTATCCGCGAATATTTTTATGATCGGTTTGCGTATCGATTAAATCAGACGAAAATTTTTCACATTATTCCATCATTCTTCATGATTCGCATTCCGATTCGCATCGGAAAGGCCGGACAAAATGGCCAATTATTTATACTTGGCAAAAATATTAGAATTTCCACAAGTAAAAGAAAAGTATTCCATTTTCCCCTGCGTCCCATTTAGCCCGATTCTCCCCTATATTATATGCAAACGTTTAAATTTAAAACTAAAAAGAGATCTGCAGAATCCACTTGACACCTGAGAGACTCCGTGACATCATCAGGAATCTCTTGTCCCAGAAACTTGACTCACACACGTGAAATCAATTTTGAGAGAAATCCCACAGGGTATGACTCCATTGTCAATTTAAAGACAATTTTCCGGGTATTTTATTTTCTTATCGTGTAATCGAATTCCATCGACTATCGA